CAGCCTGATCTCACAATCAAAACGTACATATTTGGACGTAAATTAAAACTGTCCAATACGTATGTGCCTTTACGTATTTACAGTGCCTTTTACGTATTATCTTAACGTAATTACAGGTTCGATACGTATCTAAATTTACGTAAAAACAACCTAAAATACGTACAGATAGAACGTGTTCTCTGACCAGTCAGTTATCCAGTAACTAGAAATTTGCTCATGAAGCCGCTTTTAAATGCGTATCTGATTAATTTGTTTAATACTTCTTTTGCTAGGAAGCCTTATGAAATATTAACTATAAACGTTGTGATTCCGTTGCTTTGATTTAAAATAAACAATAATCCGATGCTACCAGAAAAGACCGCGTTCCCGACCGGATTGATTTTAGAGCTGCAACAGAATCAGAATCGCTGCGTGGTCTTGTTCTTCTTGGTGAGTTTTTAATTTTCATTTAATTTGTTAATGTATATTTGTAATCTGTTTTATGAAATATATTCTTAAGTACTCAGTTGTTGTTTTTTTTGTCTGATAACAAGTGGTTTTTGGCTGGTAATCGAAAAAGAGCTCGACTCTGAAGTGATGCTATAGGTTTTAGCATTGGCTAGTTATTACTCATTAATGATTCATGTTTATTATTATCAATCTAATTTAAGTTAATGTTTTTGATGCATTTGTTGTTGTTGTTTTTCTCAGATCACACTTTTTATGACACTATGGCGCATAACGATAAAGAATTAAACGAACTTCTCAGAAAAGGACGCGCTGTTGCTGCATCCCTCGGAAAAGTTTATGATCGCACCCAAATGGAGGCCGCCGTTAAAGAAGGCCACGCTGACCCTGCCAAAATGGACCTGGATCAAACCATCAAACAAGGTCAAACAGTTATTAAAAACCTTGACAATGCGAGTTCAAGAAATAATCTGGATCATCTTTTAAAAAAAGAGTCAATCGAGCTGTTTGGACAACCAAACCAAAATGGCCCAAAGGTTAGTCTTTTTTTGAACATCCAAACCTTACGGAAATCAGAATATGACATTTGACTGAAAATTATGAAATATGGGTGGAACAATGGATATAATTTATTTATGCATCTTATATTGTTAATATTTTTAAGATTAGGACAGTCGTAATGCTATTAATCTTGAAATGCAAAGCAGAGTGTCAAGTTTTTGTAACCGAAGATGTAACGTTAGTCTTACTGATGCACAAATATAGTTTAATGTTTGAAATTCACAGGCAAAGAAGAAAAAAAGGACCCAGTCCAGTGGTAAAATCAGAGAGAAGTCACGTCCAAAACAAGCAAAGCATTTTTCTTCACATGGTAAGGTTTTGTTTACCTAAAGGATAATTTATTGTATTCTGAAGCATTAGTTTTGAAATAATATGTTTTGACTCACTTTTACATGCATTAATCAGATTCAAGAGTTAAATCAAGGCCATGCCTAAAGCCAACAGAGTTTCATCATGACCAGGGTCCAGATCATGGTTAGTTATAATTAAGATTATTACCTTTAAACATTTATTAGTTTTTTTTTGTTAATTTCTGTTTATTTTTTGCATATAAATAACTATATATTATATTTTTATGATGTGCTACAATAAGTTGCAGTGGCCCCATATAATTAAGATGTATGACACTGCTATAAAAATAGTGCCTGACATTGCAACTAAAAGCAATGCTCTGTAGTAAAGTAACTTAAAGAGCACCACTGCATCATTAGACAGGGAACTATTTTGCATAATTGTGACTTTTTTTTCGTTTAACTTTTTCTTTTCTCCGGGGTGTGACAGATTCTCTTCTAAGTGAGCTGCAAGACCTTCTGTCCGCTGCTAGCTCTAACCTTCATTCTGAGAGTACCCCACACTCAGCATCACTGCATTGGGGCACAAGGACAGCAGCTTCGTCGGAGAGATGGAGGGAGGCTAGACCCTCTTTAATCATCAATAGGCTTATAACGGAGCATTGCAAGGTACAGCTGTGTTCGGAGTGCAAGGCAAAGGTGGCAGTGGTCAAATGTAAAGACTGTTTGCCCCATCAGTATACATGCATCGACTGTGACAGTGCTATACACAGTAAGCAAGTATTCCACAATAGAAGCAGCATGATTTCAGGGTTCCACAAGGCTGTACCTCCCACCACTGTGGTGAAGCAGGACTCTGATGGGCAATACTTTCACCATCATGAAGGTACTGTTTTTATATACATGTATAATATTATTTATTTATATATATATATATATATATATATATATATATATTAAATATATATATTGAATATTATTTAAAAAGCATTTGTTTTATAGCCTATTTACACACAAAAGTGCATAATTTACTGCTCTGTGCTTTGATTGGGATGTGGAACAGAGGCCATCTTTTCTCTAATATCTTCGTTATCTTCTGATGTTCCAAGTAACTGACACTTGTTGTAAAAGGTCTGACGAGCTAGTTTTATCTTGCACAGCAGCAAGACATTTAGGCTATGTTTGATTTCACACTGCTAGAGAAAGCGAAACTAAAATCATAGCTGTATGTGAAATGCGCTATACAAATAAACTTGACGTGCCTTACCTAGTCTAATAACAAGCACAAACTGTGTTTAAAAATAATTTGACATGCATGCTTAAAGGTTTCTGTATTACAGCATTTTTTTCCACTTTACCACAGCAAAGAATGTGAATATAATAGGCCTAATTAAAAGCAAATCAACTTTTATAATCCCCTGCGAAAATAAGTGTGACGTGAGTGAAGATTTGGGAAAAGAAAAGAGACACCATGTCCATGGAATAACTAATTGGGATATTGTTAAATTTGCTGATAATCAGGTGAACGAAACACAAAGCCGGCAAAGCTTAAATTTATTGGCTCGCATACCTCCAACGTTTCAATGGCTGTGATGTAACATTTCATAGCTATCTTATTATTTATTTTGTAAACAAAGCTTTGTGCTTCACTCCTGTCATAATATTCACATTAAACAGTATTCACATAAAAAAGTGTTTTGGTGCATCACCGCCGGTGCTACTCATTGTCAGACTTCCATTTTAATTACATTTTTTTAATGTTTTTTTTAATGAACTTGTAAATGTATGCATGACACTTTGTTTTTATGTTTTTTGTTTTTTATTGTAGATCGACTCTTACCAATGGCACTTCCTAATTCCATATGTAGTTGTGGAGAAAAGTACAGTGTTGGAATTGGGAAGTCCATTACTGTAATCAACATGAAGGGTAAGTGTTCAGCATATACTAAAATATGCCCTGTTTAATAAACATATGCATGTTTATTATCAGAAAATTGTAATCTGTATGTATTCTACTTTTTAAAATGGCTTTGGTGCTATTTACCATGTCATACAACACAAATACATCTGCACAGGACAGTTGAAGGTTTTACTGGATCTTGTAGTTAAAGGGTTACTTCACCTCAAAATTAAGTTTCTGTCACTAAGTACTCACCCTCATGTCGTTCCAAAACCGTAAGACTATCATTCATCTTCGGAACACAAATGAAGAAGCTCAAAAGTGCTGCATAACCAATGAGGTTCATTCTCGTGTGTTAAGCAGCATGTTTGAGCTTCCAGAAGAGGTTTGATCTTGTGCGTTATTCATATTCGGTTGAGCTTCTTCTTATTTTCACTGATCAATGTTTATATGAGAGTAAAAGCCTAAATGAAATCTGTTCATCATAACTCTGAGTCTCTTCAGAAAATTTGGTCTAAACCACTCAATTCATGTGGCAGCCCTCTACGAACACCTTTTGACATTAAAATACAACAAAGAATATTGTTTACATGTAGTGCGCATAGGTAGCACATCAATTCTCTCTCTCCCTCTCTCGCTGCGTGTGTGTGTGAAACAAAGCGACTGCGAGTTGTGCGCTTCACACTAGAGTTTACGGTACGTTAAATACAGGTGCGTTGCACATCCATTCAGATGAACTGAAAAATAGCACGGATCGCTTGACGGAGAGTGAAACTGAAGCGCTCAGTCAGAGAGTGTTCGGTTTATAGTGAAAATATATCTGTGCTAAACTTATACTTAGCCTCCAACTCACACACTGGCGAGTAAAATCTGAGAATTGATTAGCCATTGGCTAATATTAGACATCATTTAGTCGCCCAGAGTGAAGATTTAGTCACATATGTGAGTGATTTACTCACAATGTAGAGGGTTGTATGGATTAGTTTTCCGATCTCTTTATGAACTTTTTGAAGCGTCAAAGTTTCAGTTGCAAAGGCAGGTAATGGAAAGAAATCTGACAGCATTTTTTAATCAAAAAGATCTTCATTTGTGTTCTAATGAACGTCTGGTTTGGAACGACATGAGTAGGGTTGGGTACCGTTCATATTTTAACCGGTACCAGTACCACTATCTGTACCTGAAATTCGGTGCCGTTACCCATCGGTACCTTTTGTCGGTACTTTACTTTCCGTGTAATAACAATTTATTTCAGAGAAAAAAATAAGCCCAAACCTCTTGATTTCAACTTTTAGACATTTTACACACTAGACAAAATAAACTGTTATGTGTGTGCTGTAGGCTAGTATGTATGAGATCGTATTACTGGAGAAAATTCAAATGTCACGACTCGCGAAAGACTGTTCTTAACCTCTGCTGTTCAGTGCTGCATTCGGACACGTACCGTGAGTGTATGTTTCCTCAGCACAGTAACACAAAAGTGTTTTTATTTTCCCCATGATGCTGTCAGAGCTGAAGTTTGACTAACAACACATGGAAAATATGACTGACCATATTTAGTATGTAAAAACATGTGGAGCGCGCATGAGAGCGTTTTCTATGTAATGTAACCACAGAACGTTTAGCCATTGCCATGTGTTGTGTTTGAACAAGTTGCAGGAGTGTCTCGCATGGTCTCTGTCTTTCTCTAATGTACCTCTCGTGCCCAGATGCGTTCTCGGGTACCGAAATTTGGCACCGATTGATTTAATGTGCCTGATAACCACACCTAATGTGGTGAGTGAATTTTAGAAATTAGGAATGGTTGGAGAATGCTATGCTTGGTATATTTTTTTTGTCTTAAAACCAAACTTGGGTGTTCAGCCAACTAAGTTTAAATCTCATCTGACTAGCGCATGTCCCATAATCTTTATGCATTAGGTCAGTAGATGGAGAGTGGGTGACCTTTAGTGGCTGTTCCTATGCATTCAACCACAAGAGCATTTACACTATGAAAGAAATCTGGTTGAATGCAGTTTTGACTACCTCTGGAAGTGGTCGAAAGTGGACAAGCTCAAAATGTTTTACACCCCATTTACAACTGTATTTAGCGTTGTACATCTTAATACCAATGTGTAAACAGGACCATAGATGGGCTCAAACCATCCCATCTGGCACCAACAATCATCCATTTGATTATCAAATCAACAAAAGTCGTGGCCTAATGGTTAGAGCGTCGGACTCGTAACCCAAAGGTTGCGGGTTCGAGTCTCGTACCGGCAGGGATTGTAGGTGGGGGGGGAGTGAATGTACAGCGCTCTCTCTAACCTTCAATACCACGACTGAGGTGCCCTTGAGCAAGGCACCGAACCCCCAACTGCTCCCCGGGCGCCGCAGCATAAATGGCTGCCCACTGCTCCGGGTGTGTGTTCACGGTGTGTGTGTGTTCACTGCTGTGTGTGTGCACTTTGGATGGGATAAATGCAGAGCACTAATTCCGAGTATGGGTCATCATACTTGGCCACATGTCACATCACTCACTCACTCAAATAATGCAGTGTAGTGCATAAACTTAAGATGACCTATATCTGCATGATATTGTTAATATCAGTGATCCAAAGGTTATAGACTGCTTAACTCCTGGGATTTTCACACACAGAACTGTCTATATCATCTCTATCACTTACCCAGAATTGTGACAAAAATAAATAAATAACACTGCAAAGCAGTTCTGTGAGGAAAAACACCTTAATGACCGAATAACCGTAGTCAGACTGGTGGTAACTGTTTTGTAGAATTGTGAACAGAATAGCATTAAGTAGCTTTGTACTATTTCGGTTGAACAAGGAGGTCCATGATAATATTATTCTGACTGTTTTGGTGATCAGTATATTTAACTTATAGAGCAGTGGTTTTCAATCCTGGTCCTGGGGACCCACCACTCTGCACATTTTGTATGTCTCTCTTTTCTGACACAAAGCGCAGTTCATGGATCTCCTAATGAGCTGATGATCTGAATCAGGTGTTAAATAAGGGAGACATGCAAAATGTGCAGAGCGGTGGGTCCGCAGGACCAGGATTGAAAACCACTGTTATAGAGGATGGTAGATGTTGAAAAGACTTACAATGAACAAGCCTAGAATGTAATACTTTTTCTATGTATCTTATCTAGTCTGGCACTTTATGGGGCGATACATTTTTGAAGAGCTTTTTCGAGTGGTCCATCTGCCGTTATGAGGTTGACAAGATCTGCGGCGAACAACATTTCATGTGTCCAGCTTGTACCCCTCTAATGCTGGCAATTGCTGTGGATGGCAACAGAAAACTTCACCGTTTCAAAAAGGCTGGGAAGTAAGTGTTTAATAGTTGTTGTTGTTGGTTGACTTTGTCATAATAGTATAAAATTGTATTGCCATACAAAAGGTTAATGTTTTGTGTCAGTAATACAAAGACCTTGGAGCAGAATGTTTCATACTGTGAGGACTGTTTTTTTTATATATATTATTGTCACAACAGCTCTTTCAATTACCCTGAAATTCTTAAGTTTGTGTTCATTGTTGTTTAGAAACCTGATCTAAAAAAAAAATACATGTAATTTTGTTTTATTAGTTCAGAGGGCTCTGGCTACTTCGAAGGGTTGTTTCTTTGCAAAGATGATGATGTTTCGTCTTTTGTTCAGTATATCCGCAAAAAAGTGCAACACGTAAGTTTACTATACTTCCAATCAGACTATACTACCAATCAAATTGCTTGCAAGTACACATAATGATTCATGATTTTTTTTGTGTAAAATTTTATCCAGTGGTTTCACATACAAAGTCATGTGTACACAGATCATGATTCATGCCTGTCTGCTTTTTTCCTCTCGATCCCAAATGCCATGTAGGTGGGAGGCAAAGGTGTCTGTGGATCTGCAGAGTTAGCTGCTGCGAAAGAGTTTTCCAGCAAGACCAGCAGTAAGCTGGATGAGGAGGGAATTGAAGTCGCTGTCTGTAGGCATGGTGTTCTTTTGAGGGCACTCAATATGTTCAGAGGAGAGATCTATGCTTATCCTTTGTACTTGCAGAAAGAGCTCTGCACCGAAAATGCAACTTTCTTTTGTGCTGACATCATGTGCAAATACTGGCCATACTTGATAAAAGTTTGCCAGGCCTGCCCGGAACTGAGACATCTTCTGAACATGAAGCCATTCCTCTCAGTTATGCATGCAAAAGTACATGGTGTGAAATGTGAGGTATTTTAGACCAATGTGTTCATATTGCCTATTTTATATTTGTATTCAGTAAAAGCCTGCATGTATTAAACTTTATCTCACTCAATAGATCAAATGGAGTGGAAGCTTTCAAACGGGCGCTGCATATACCATGGGAGAAGAAGTGGAACAAGCGAATAGCTTTTTGTCAAGGATTGGTATAAGCACTAAGTTCATGTCCAAAGCAGGTTAGTATGTTTATATGTAATGTTGGCCTCAATAACTTTTCCTTTATATTTCAAGGCATTAACAATTATTATGGTTTGTATCTTTCAGACTCAGCAGAATCTAAAAAAAGAGACAGAAAACCTACAAGACATGAAAACAGAACTGGCTGTAGATGATGGTGTACTCCATCAGTGGGTCACAGATGTACAGGAGTGGGCCCACAGTAGTATGTAACGGCTATATGTCGTTCAGTTTACATTTGCAAAATACTATCACTGCAGTTTGCTACAACTTGTGATTGAGCAAGCAATTTGTTTAATTGTTTTATGTTTTGAGGTTTTTTTTTTTTTTTTTAACAGCAACTGTAGGAGACCGTGATGCTACAATTCAGCCAATAAGGAACACAATGGAAGAATTATCTTTGTGCATTAAACAACGGCAACATCGTCTTTACAGACACACTGGTATGTTTAATATAAAAGGAAAGATCTACTTATTCTTCGTCTTCATCATTCTTATCACTATTACTACTATTATTGTTGTCAATAACAAATAGTAATACAAAAAATGCCCCATGTCAATTCATTATGTTTCAGCCACAAACAAAGGGCGAAATAAAATAAGAAGAAAAATAAACGAGGAGAGAAAGAAGCTGGCTTCTGCAATTGAGCAGTACAATGCCCTTGTTGACCCCTTCCTCAAGATACAGTCCATTGAAGAGGTCCTACAAAATGACTACGTTTTCCCCTGGCAGCTAACAGAGCAAGGTCAATGATGCATAACATAGGTATTCACATTGAATTATATAGTCAATATGTCTTTGTCATTTACATGATTTACCTGTATTGTGTAGATGATGTCAACCTCTTGACAAAGAAAAAGTTCTTTGACAAGGTGATGCTAATTCATCGACTAGAGGAAGAACAAACTATCGTTGTTCAAGAGGCAAAGCAGCACTGGCTTTATCTAAGAAGTCAGGAACACAAACTGAATAGTTTGCTTGATACCATCAT